CTAAATGTAATACATACTTCCATTCCCACCGGCCTACAACACAAACGGCAATGATATAACCCACATAACACATAATGCTTTACTGGCCTCACCTAGAGGGGAACAACCCAAGGTCACACTTTACTGGGCACAAACTAGAAAGAAGATGAACCTATCTCAAGGCTCATGCTTTACCGGCCTCCCGGAGAGAAACAGACCTCAATTTCACACTTTACCGGGCGCAAACTAAAAAAGACGAAGAACCTTTATCAAGGCGCCATGCTTTACTGGCCTCACCAGGAGGGAAATAGACCCCACAAACGATAACACAATAATAGCACAACATGCTAAATTACATAATACCGTACAAGTGTTGTAATAACCCGACCCTCGTATCTGATTCTGGTATATTTTGAGTCCCTTAGTCTGTACTTTTAAATGCTCATTGTGAAATTTTATGGGGAATTAAGGTTAATGAAGTGAATCCTAATATTATGGAACACATATCTGTTCCATAAGAAAAGTATCTATCACAATTAGAATGTTTGAATTAGGAATTGAGGGTCCTAGAGGCTTCATAATCCGGAATTGATCTTACATTTGAAATTAGCATAATTTTTAGGTAATATTAAGCATTGTTATAAAAATTTGATTTGGAATGATTATTAATTAGTTTTTGTCCTATTCACGTTATATATGTATATATATATATATATATCCATGTTCTTTGAAATATTGGCTTAGGGCCCTTAATCAAAATATCTCCTAAGTGCAAATTGGGGGAGAAGGTTAGAGAGGGTTGAGAGGAGGTTCAAGAAGAAGATTGGGAAGTTAGTGAGGATTGTAGAATTTGAGCTCAAGGTATGTGATTCTTGCTTTTGTTAAGCTCTCATGATAAGTGAGTAAGAAATTCTATCTAATTCTTAAGTGGAAGTTACAATTAAAGAATCAAGGGTGTGTGTGATCTTGTTTAGTTGTATTGGTAAATGAGTTGGTAATCTCACCTTTCCTCTCTTGATTTTACTTAGTGTATGGTGTTTATTTACATACCTAAATGATTATCAAATATGGTTTTTTAAATCTAGTTGGACCAAACATAATTGAAACCATGAAGGGATTAAGTTATGTTGCGAACTTTAAGAATTAAAAATTTAAATCCTAGTTAGGGTGTATGTGTGTTGGAGGATCCCATTAACATGTTTCTAGACCATGTTTTAGCAATTAAGGAAGCTATGTTGAGCCTTGTAAATATTCACCAAAAGGTGGGATTTTGTATGAATTTTCAGACTGTTTTGAGCAGAATCGCCGCACGTGCAGGGGTCATGGCCGCACGTGCGGGAACCCCAGCCGCAAGTGCAGGAGTCATGGCCGCACGTGCGGAGAATAAGGAATTTTGTCATTTTGGCTAGTGTCTAAAAAGCACGTGCGGGGCATCACTGCCGCACGTGCGGGAGTCTTTACCGCACGTGCGGGGCTCACAGCCGCACGTTCGGCCCATGCTAAAAATAACGGGTTGCTCCGTTTTACGTGTTGGACCCTCTAATATTGTTGAAATATGTATTTAAGACCTTTATGATATCTATAAATGTAATCGAAGCGAAACAAATTTGAAAATGATTTAATGAAGGAAAAGAATTAACTTGCAAGTTGTTCATTTGTGTAGGTCATAAGCCGAGAGAGACAAGTGCGCCGCTACTGCACTTTGAGTAGTAGTACTATTATAGTACACTTTCCTACAGCTAATGATTACTATTAGCATTCTGTTAACGCATGTCAATTATGTAACTTATATGAATGTTTGAAAGGATGTAAATCAATAATGTAAAAGAATGGAAATGTTTTCATATGACTCCGGAATTCTGTAAGACTCTGACATCTGGGCCTATGGCCAATCTGTACTTTCTGATATGAATCAAGGTGCTGTACGGAACTAAGTGCTACAATGTGAGTCACCTCTAGAATCCGTGCGAGACACCTCTTGAGTTCATACATGCATGAAAAGAGCTTAATGCCATTCTGTTTAAGGGCTTAATGCCATTCTGTTTAAGGGCTGAGTGCCAATCTGTTTAAGGGCTTAATGCCACTCCGTTCAAGGGCTTCAAGCCATTATGTTTAAAATCCGAGCCTAAGGCTGTTCTAAAAATTAGTACAGAATCATATTAACCACATGACCTCTGCATTTATACATGCATTGATATGTATTATATTTAAGTTGAGCATCAATTTGTTTAAGTTCTATTATTCACTGAGCCTGGCTCACTCTGTGTTATGTCTATTTATGTAGGTAACTAACCGGGAGGTCAGTCCTAACCCATGACGTCCGTTCTCTTTTGTCAACCTCTGAGTGTCTAAGCACTAGACGAAGCTACTTATGTTTTGTGAAGTTTTTCTATGATGTTGGCTCGTACTTTAATTTCCTACTTAAGGATGAATGTATATAACTTCCTCAACCTGCGATGTTTTGGTTATACGCCCAAGCATAGGGCTGGGTCTGTATATGTGTATGTATATAACAGATGCTCAGATGCATGTTTCTGTATATTAATTTCCTATTAAGTTGTTTGTGATCCTGGCATAGTAGTGATTGCTCAATGGAGATTGTTTTCTGTTATTTTATAATATTTAATGCTTCCGTTTAGGCCCCGTATGTTATGTATGTCAGGTTAAATGCCCGTTTCAGAATAGGTCATGCCCAAACTTTTAGGGGCGAGTGTGGGGCATGACAAGTAGTATCAGAGCACGAGTTCCCATCTTACACACGAATCCATTGAGCCTTAGGATGTCTAGAAAAGACTTAGGTGTCATGCATTGCATTCTGAACGTATATCAAAGACCGATGGCAACGTTAAATGCATTTTGCTAACGCTAACGATTACGATTCATGTTTATGGTATATTCTTGTATGCATTGTAATTGAATGTCTTGTAGAATATGGTGAGAACAAGAGCAGAAGACTCGAAAGATGCCACTTCTGCATGGTTGGATGGGATGGAGAGGATGATTATGGAAATGGCGGAAACCCTACGGCAACGACAGCAACAGCCATAACCGCAACCACCACCACCACCAGTATCTCCACCCGTAGTACAAGATTTTCATGCTGAAGACCGAACTATTACCCTTACCAAGAAGTTTAAAAAGATGAAACCACCATCATTCAAAGGAGGAATAGAACCAATGAAAGCTGAAGCGTGGGTGTTGGGAATAGAGAAGTTATTCAAAGTTTTTCCTTGCACCGAAGCTCAAAAAGTACAACTGGCTACCTTCACCCTTGAGGACGAGGCACAGAGATGGTGGATGCTTACAAGGACCACACACCCAGGATTAACATGGGAAAGATTCCTAGAACTGTTTTATGACAAGTATTTCCCTAAAAGTATGCGAGACAAGAAGGTGACAGAATTCGAAACTCTTAGACAACGGAATAAAACCATTGCCGAATATGAAGCTCAATTTGCAGAACTGGCCTGGTTTGCACCTCACATGGTGGATACAGATTACAAGAAGGTGCGTAAATTCGAAGGCGGATTACGGAGCGCTATACTAGACAAGGTCAACATGTTGAAGTTACCTACTTATGTCGATGTGTTGGAGAGGGCTGTTATAGCAGAAGGAAACCTCGCTACTCAAAATCGAATTTCTGAATGGAAAGGGAAGAGATAGAATACTCAATGGTCAAAGGGGACAACTACTCCACCAAACAAGAAACAAAATTCAGGGACTTCAAATACTTCTACTCCTAATCAGGATTCAATTCCTGTTTGTCCGGAATGTGGAAAGAAGCATCGAGGAACGTGCTACCAGAAGTCTGGAGCCTATTTTCAATGTGGCAAAACAGGTCATTTGATAAGGGATTGCCCTCAAAGGAATTAACAAAACGCCAATAGGGCTACTACCAGTTCGGCGAGGTCTACACCAACTTCCAATGCCAAGACAGCTGCTAAACCTACTAACAATAAAGACACTACTAGATAAGGCAGGGTGTTCGCATTAGTTCCGGGAGATGTGCAAAGTGCAGCCACAGTGGTGTCAGGTACATTTATTGTTCATAGTCATTCTGCTCATGTATTGTTTGATTCTGGCTCCACCCACTCTTTTGTGTCAAAACTATTGGCTCCTCATTTAGATAAAACTGAAGAAAAAGTGTCCTATATGTTGTGTGTGTCTTCACCTTTGGGAGACTCTATGATATGTGCTTCTGTATACTTAGCTTGTGAACTCCAACTTGGGGATATTCGGGTGTATGCTAATCTGTAACCATTCGACATGACTTATTTTGATGCTATTTTGGGAATGGACTGGTTGAGTGATTGTGGTGCAACTATACACTGCTTGACTAAGCAAATTAGTTTCCACCCTCCGGGACAAGCAGAGTCTATTTTTCAGGGACAGGAAGTGACTTCTCCACCTTATTTGATTTCTGCAACAAAGGCTTATAAATTAATTCAGAAGGGGTGTCAGGGGTATTTATGCAGTGTTTTAGAGGGGCAAGTGATGAATGGGGTTATTGACATGATTTCAGTTGTCCGTGAATTTCTGGATGTTTTTCCAAAAGAATTACAGGGCAGTTGATAGACTGTCAAATTAAGTTTACCATTGAGGTGGCACCGGGAACTCAACCTATTTCTAAGACGCCGTATAGGATGTCACCAGTTGAAATGAAATAATTAAAGATTCAGTTGTAGGATTTGCTTGATAAGGGATTTATCCGTCCAAGTGTGTCTCTTTGGGGTGCACCAGTTCTGTTTGTGAAAAAGAAGGATAGAACACTTCGACTTTGTATTGATTACAGGGAACTCAATAAAGTAACGATCAAGAACAAGTATCCATTGCCACGAATCGATGATTTATTTGATCAGCTTCAAGGAGCACAAGTTTTCTCAAAAATTCATCTACGGTCTGGATACCATCAATTGAAGGTCAAAGCTGATGATGTTGAGAAGACAACTTTTTGAACCCGGTACGGTCATTATGAATTTCTAGTTATGCCCTTTGGAGTTACTAACGCACCAGCAACATTTATGGATTTGATGAACCAGGTTTTCAAGCCCTATTTGGATGAGTTTGTGGTAGTATTTATTGATGACGTCCTCATTTACTCGAAGAATGCCGAAGCTCATGAGGGTCATCTTCGCCTAATCCTACAAACACTTCAAGAAAAGGAGTTGTATGCTAAACTGAAGAAATGTGAATTATGGCTACAAAAGGTGGCATTTCTGGGGCATGTAATAACAAAGGATGGAGTCTCTGTAGATCCACACAAAATTGAGGCGATTGTGAATTGGCCAACTCCTACCAATGTGACGGAGGTGCGTAGTTTTTTGGGGTTAGCCGGATATTACAGGAGGTTTGTTCAAGATTTTTCCAAAATTGCTGTGCCACTTACACAATTGACCCAAAAGGGAGTTGCGTTTGAATGGTAAGAAAAGCAGGAATCTACCTTCCAAGAATTGAAAACAAAGTTGACTACAGCGCTAGTTCTGGCCTTACCATCTGGTACTGAAGGGTTTGTAATCTACAGTGATGCTTCGCATAAAGGGCTTCATTGTGTACTTATGCAAAATGGACGAGTTATCGCTTATGCCTCTCAACAACTGAAACCCCATGAAAAGAATTATCCCACCCACAATCTTGAGCTAGCAGTAGTGGTTTTTGCTTTAAAAATATAGCGACATTATCTGTATGGCACTACATGTGAAATTTATACCGATCACATAAGTCTCAAGTACCTTTTTACTCAAAAAGAATTGAATATGCGATAGCGATGCTGGTTAGAGCTGATTAAAGACTATGATTTACAGATTCACTACCACCTTGGTAAAGCCAACACAGTTGCAGATGCGCTTAGTCGAAAGAATGTGAGAAACTTGGAAAATCTGTTTACGGAACAAAAGGAGTTGATGAATGAATTGGATAAAATGAAGGTAGATCTTGTGGTGCATGAGCAGGAAGCCGTAGTGGCAGCAGTAATGGCCCAACCAACCTTACTTGAAGAAATCAAGCAACATCAAATGGAGGATGAAACTCTACGGAAAGTATGTGATGAGTTAGAGACAAAACCAAAACCAGGGTTCAGTATAGTGGATTCGGTGCTCAAATTTCAAAGCAGAATATGTGTCCCTAATGTGTTGGAACTTAAGCGGAAACTAATGGAAGAAGCGCATGCCTCGAGATTTTCAATGCATCCGGGAGTACTAAAATGTATAGGGATTTAAAACAAAACTTTTGGTGGCCAAGTATGAAAAAGGAAATTGTGGAGTTCGTCTCTAAATGTTTACAGTGTCGGCAAGTAAACGCAGAGCATCAGAGACCAGTAGGATTGTTGCAACCCCTTCCAATTCCGGAATGGAAGTGGGAACATCTTACCATGGACTCTGTGGTAGGGTTACCCCGGACTCCGCGGGGTATGAATTCTATATGGGTCATTGTGGACCGATTGACTAAGTCCGCTCACTTTTTACCACTAAAGACTCAGTATAATGCGGATAAACTCACTGTGATTTACGTGAATGAAATTGTGAGACTTCATGGTGTACCGGTCTCAATTGTGTCGGACAGAGATCCAAAATTTGTTTCGAGATTTTGGCAAAGTCTGCAGGAAGCGATGGGTACAGAACTAAAGTTTAGCACAGCTTTCCACCCTCAGACTGACGGTCAATCCGAGAGAACGATACAGACTCTGGAGGATATGCTCCGAATGTGCGTGCTGGGTTTTCAAGAAAGTTGAGAAACCCATCTACCGTTGGTAGAGTTTTCGTACAATAATAGTTACCATTCGAGTATTGAAATGGCACCCTATGAAGCTTTTTATTGAAGACCGTGTCGTTCTCCCGTGTGTTGGGCCGAGATCAGAGATAGATCATTGCTAGGACCCGAAATTGTTCAGTTGACAACTGAAAATGTTAAAATTATCCAGGAAAGATTGAAAACGGCTCAAAGCAAACAGAAGAGTTATGCGGATAACCGACGGAGGAATTTGGAATTTGAAGTGGATAGTCACGTGTTTGTGAAAGTTACCTGTAGACGTCCCTGAACGCCCCCGGGAGGAACGAGCTCCCGTTCTGTTCATTTGGGATCACTACAGCTCAGGACTCTTAAATTTGTCACGGTTCTAAGTCTGAACCAAAGAGTCCAAATCCGGCAAATCGTTTTGAGAAAAACAGATTTTTGAAAGAAGTGCCAAACATGGACTGCTTTGCCAGATACAGAGTCGCCACCTAAATGTTTTTTAATGGGAAATTTAGGAAACCCTGACTCGGTGCCAAAGGCCACGTGTCCGTCATCACCAAAGTTGCCTCGGCTCGGGAACTTGGGTACGATTGGGGAAGGTCACTTCGTGAGCACCCCCGCTCGCCCGATCAAAAATCGGCCTCTACTAACCGTGATATCTATTTTTGAAAACTTTGTGTGTTCTTATTCCGGTTATTAGCCTAGGTTACTATGTGATGCACACAGTATATAAGTATAGACTGGGTCGCCCGAATTGGAACAAAACATTTCATGCTTGTTTATTTGAAAGATGGTTTGCTACTCGCAAGTAGGCTTAAAATGCAGATTTTGCCACCCGCAGGTGGGCTTAGAAAAACAATGGTTTTGCCACTATCTAGTGGGCTTAAAACTAACAGTTGATGATTTATTCCAATCCAAGTAACCCAACCTTCACCCACAGGCATTCAGGCAGTTATATCACATAAGCAAATAGCCTCATGGTAAGCATGCTATCATGGCAGTCACTCACACGCATGCAAGGATGCTAAAGCATAAAACTTACCGAGTACTCCAAGCCAAAATGGAAATCACATTAGAAATCATGCATGACCCTAAGTATACAGAAATGCCAAATGCAACACATGCAAAAATGCAACCTATAGTACGCTCGGCTATTCTAAACATGGCATATGGAATGCTACAGCTAACATGTATTCAATTTGGAATTGAAAATACAATGCAGTTAGTATGATGCGCCGAGCCCGGTGCATGCAAAACGGATGAATGATGCAAACATGCTGTCATACTTTATGCTAATTGAAATATGCCATAATCTAACCATCATAAGCGGATAAATAAAAGGGAAGAAAGACGTGGGGTTGTAAGACATACATCACACTCACGCACACTTATTACAGTTGCGCCCTCGCGCAGAGGGTCCGAATAAATATACAGTCCCAAATAAAAGAATATTACAGTCCAAAAATTATAGTCCGAATAATATACAAATTCCTAATTAATTAACAAATTAACTAAGAAAACTGTAAAACTGGCATGCAAGCCAGGGACTGCCTTGCTTCTGATGAATGATGCATGTCTGGGCTGCCTTGCGCGGAAATCCACCGGGATGCCCCAATTAGCCTCTGTTTAGCAGTTATTCTTGGAAAGCGTGCCAAACTCTGAAAAGTAGCTGATTCTTCATTTTGCTGCAACAGAGAGCAGGAAAGGGGCATAGCAATGTATTTTCACAGATATATGCATGCCTCGATCCTCGTGCCACCAATCACGCATATCGAGGCATGATGGCCGAGGAGTCGAATTGTACAATTTAATATGGGATGAATGCACATGAAAACACAACGAGACCTAACTCCATCATGGATGATCCGGAGTGTCGGTGACTGGGGAATTGAGATACATTCCGTCATTCGGAGTACCAAATGCACCTCGTTTCCCGTGCCCGGGCTAACTCCTATCCCGAACACGATGCAATATGCATGACATGCATGAAATGCGACTAAGATACAATCCTAACATACACAATGCTATGAAAATGAGAAGCCTCGAAATGCGTGCACACGGGCACGCAAACCGAGAAAATGACAGCATGTGATCTAAGATACAACCTAGTATGCACTATGCTGTAAAAATGAGAAGCCTCGAAAGGCGTGCACACGGGCACGCAAACTGAGAAAATGACATACGCAATGCAAATGACATGAAAATATGATATGGGCTTACACTAACATGAGAGAGCCTCAAACCCCCCTATGTTGGGGTAGGGTTTCCCTGTCCTATTTTGTCAGGAGCTAGGGTTTCACTACG